GTTTGGGAGAGAAATAACTAGCTGAAGAGATCCTGTAATTAATATAAACTGCAGGAAGCGAGTGTGACAGATGAGTTGAAAAGCCCTATGTTCTGTTGCTTATCTCAAGTGACATGGTCCTAGAGTACAAGCAGGCAATGGATTGTGGGGCTGCTTTTTATTTTGCTCTAGTAGAAGGCAGAAGAGTGTCCGTGTGTTCTGCAGGGCAGCAATACAGAAGCTGAAATAACACTCCTTGAGATGTGAGTGGGAAATTCAGGGGATTACAGAACAGCATTTCCTTCTAAAATTGAGACACTGTGACATTTTTCAGTGTCAGGCTATGTGAATCACAGTTATGATTACTGAAGTAAAAGAGAAAAAATCTGCTAGAAACAAAATACTTTATTTCTGAAACAGATTTCGTTTTCTTCAGAACACACAGATGTTAAATGATTTTCAACTTGCATTTTTAGTGTCAGCTGAAATAAAGTAAGACTGAAGTTTATGCTCAAGCTTCAGTAGAACAGTGAAATGGTTCGGTTACTCTGGCCAAAGAAAAGGTAAGGTTTGTACAAAAATCTTTAGTTGTACTCCAGAGGTCTGAAACCTATGGTTAGTTTATAATAACATTGATTGCACATTTTCCTGTAAACACTGCAAACGTGGTCTCACATTCAAGAGGTGTAACAGCAATTTATCCAAAAATTTTTCTAGTCCTGCCAAAACCTAATCACTTTGATATAAATCTGACAGGAGAAAATTACGTGGGTTACTGTGGTTTCGTAGTTTCACCTTTCTAAATAGCTCATATTTCAGTAGAACTACAGTTGTGGATAAACCTACAAGCCATTTGGGACTCAATCTGATGTACTTTCTGGGGTATTACCCAGTTTTCACCGAGTCTTTTATTGTTCTTTTAATGAGTGTAAAATTTAGCCTTGTATTTGATTAGGACCATTTGTTTTTCTTTTAGCTCTCCATTTGCATTTAGGTCTTGCTTATTGGTTATGTGTTAGGCAGACTGTCTTTTGAAGAAACAAAACGTACACTGGAAAAATCTAAGTGGCATTGTTGTTATAACTGATAAGGGACATAAGCTCTTTTATTAGATGATGCTCTGTTTTCCAGAGCCAACCTGCCTTTAGCATTTAAGTCACAGCTTTGTCCAGAGGCACTACCATTTCAGCTCACCTTCAGCAACAAGTCTTCCTAACGTGTTGTTTTGTTTTATACTAAAGCTAGAAAAGGATAATGTTACTAGGGAGGCAAGAAAAAGAAACCAGAGCTTTAGCTGACCGTTTAACTTAATATTGAACAACTGTCTTCATGAGAAAGAAATAGATGGTGGTGAATAAGCTAGAGTCTAGTTTTCCAAGAAGCTCAATGATTTTCCCAAATCAATACAGCTCATCAGGCTTCAGAACAAAGGCTGTGGGAGACGTGACAGTGATGGAAGTGGCTGTATGTTCTTTTTTGTACCAAGCACATAGGCTCATGGGGAAACAGGCCTTCAGTTATTTCAGTGCTTATTCTTCTATATGCTCTGGGATAAACCTCTAGATTAAGAAAATATATTGCAGTTATTATTAGGTGGGATTAAAAAATTGTCTCCTTGGTGGCCCAACTCCATGGCTTCAAGATGTACTCATCACTGTAGAATTGCTACTTGTTTTCTAAATGCAAATGTAATGCAAGTCCGGGGAATATGTGTTTTCTTTGTATACCATTAAAGGTATACACAGCTTTTTCAAGCTAGGGTAGAGGTTGCTATTCTAAACGTATTGTACTGATGACATCATAATGAAGGGGGAAAGAAAGGGCATGCCATCTGAATAAAGTATCCACAAAATTTAGGTTGACATCACTCAGAACTTACTGGAAATCACATGGATGTGATCCAAGTTTGTTATGCTGTTGAAGAAACTGCTGTAGTTTTGTATGACTAGAGTAATGCCAGCCCGCTTTAGTCAACAGCAGAGTAACGTTAACTAGAATAGCAGGGTTTAGCCTCTCAGCCCTTTAACCTTGAAGCTTACTTTGCTTTCATAAAGCACTAAATTAACACCATAGCAAAGCATCTCAAAGGTTTATGACTGCACCAGCAGTATTTCATTATGCTTCTTTTCCTTAATGCTATCCAATATTCTCAGCTTCATTGCTATACAGGATTTGTTCAGATAAAGTCCAGTGTCCACGATGACTAATTGCAGATCTGTGTTCCAGATGGTTTGATTACAGGATGTGTTTAAAGTGACTTTTCAAACATTCTGTGCAGTAGTAGGGCTCTTAAAAAAAAAAAAACAAACAAACCAAAAAACCAAACAAAAAACAACCAAAACCCACCAAACAAAAAACTCATCAGTCTTGCATTTCCAGGCCACCTGACAGTCATTACGTTCTCAGGTTTGCTGATGTTAATGTCTGTTACATGTGCACCTGCTGTAGATGTTGTTAAGTTCCTGTGCCACGCTAGACAGAGAGGGTGATTAAAGTAGTAAATAAATTGTACCTCAGAGTAGAAGACTTGACTTTATATGTAGAATGTTTACTGTTAATTTTACTTTCTTGATGGAAGCAATCAGGGACAAATAAGCCATTTGCATTGCAAGTCTAGTATAAACATTGTTCTGTGTTTTTTTAATGCCTGGATGAATTGCAGGTGGATATGTGGATCTGGGACTGATGACAATGTGGTGCACGTTGTGAGGCAAATGAGTTATACTGCTCTTACTAAAGCAATGGCAATGAAAAAGCTTGAGATAATCCCTAAGATATAGACTTTCATCTTGTGGCTTTTTGAACTTCATATACTTCAGTTACTGTTAGAACAGTGATGTAAAATAGGTATATGTGGGATTAAAAAATTCGTAGTGCCAGATGCAGAATAAAATATTTAATCCATGGTGGCAGTGTACTCACTGATGACAGATATGCTGTGTTTTGGCTATCCCAGGCATGTCTCTATTATTTGTGCTTTGCAAGCCTGGGATGAAAGGCAAATGAATTTGGTTTGCAAACAAATTTGTGGCTTCACTAATCATAAAGATATGAGGAATTGATTTTGCTGTAATGTTACGTCAAGTGATATGATGTCTTCTCAATACTGAGAATTGCATCTCAACCTTGAAGAGCTGCTATGCCACAGGAATATTGCTACAAGAATTTGTCATATTAAACCTTTTTAAAAGTACTCCTATAAAAATTACTACAAAGTATAGTATACTTTGGTAGATCTTCCTCTGGCATCAGCAAAGTTGTCTTAAAACGATAACTCAGAATAGTAAAGGCACTAGGCAGCACTGTTAACCAAATGGGAATTTCAAACAAGTAGGACTCCACTTAGCTTTAAACGTGACTTATGTGACTTTTTAAACATAAGTGACTTTTGGTGAATGAAAAGCAAACAAATGATGGCTAGTTTTGGAAGATCACTTAAATATTCTTCAACAAATCAGTTACAGAAGTGTTCGGAAAGATTTCATGCAGATCTGCTTTCTTCAGAATTTTGCAGATACTTTTGTTCAGATTCTCTGCTAGGAACAAAGGGAACAGCTTCTTTTTACAAAATATGAAGGTGTACCCATTCACTCATTCAGATAACTGGTCTTTTGAGTTTTCTGGGAAAATAATCAACTTGAACTAAACCAGAATTTTGTAGCAGTTGCTGTGATCTGAACACAAAAGCAGCCTATGCCGTAAACATTGTCAGGCTTTCCAGTCTGATTAATTGTGTAATGTCTACTTATATTGGAATATGAATGTGTTTGTTTTTGAAAGCCAGTATTTTCAAAAACTGGGGCCTGCATTTAAGGTATTAATGTGATAATTTGATTCCTAACCACATGATCTCATTTTCAAAGTTTTGGATACAAAGCCCACAAATTCTTGGCTTATGTTCATTGCAGGAAACAGAGTCAAGAAAGCAAAAGGATTAGTATCTGTTTTAGATTACCTCCTTCAGTCTTTTGTTCTTTAGATGAGGGAACATCTGCAAGAGTGTATCCTGTTAAATTTGAGTAAATCCTTACAAGCTTGATGTGACTGCTAGAAGTACAGTGTCAAGATAGTCAACATGAATGGTTCCCTGCTAGGTCCTGAAGATGCCTTGAGATTGTGATGTTTTTACATCAAAATAGCACATCTGCATTTGTTAGGCTGACTTTAAAAGAGCATAGCTCTTTTTTCAAATAGTGACAACAAGTTTAGGTAGTTCATTTCCAATTTGTGATGACATACTTCATTCTATAAATTTAGATAAGAAATAGCCAGTTTTAGTTCTGGTCTTTGTTATGCAGTCACTGAAAAGAAGGAAAGGAGGGGGAAGGAAAGAGAACAAATACATCACATCCACAGAACTCATAAAAAGTGCTTCTTTCTGTAGATTTCGGAAAACGATTTTATTACAAATCACTTTTGTGACATGTGACCTTTCATTCCATAATAAAATCCAAGTACAAGTTGTCACAGTTATTTTGTACAGGTTATTACATTGTATCTATCAGAATTGCTTATGTAAAATGGTTTTGTGCTCTTCTAGGCATGTGTTAGTTTTTCTTATCTGTTGTTGGGTAATTTTTTGCCATAAACATTGTGGTTATGAATGTGACAAGTAAAGAAAAAAGCTCGTAATGGTACATGCACTGAGAAGGAAACCACCAAAATACAGAATCTTTCCTTCCTCCTAGCAGGCGAATGAAATTCCCCTTGATGTTAAAGGAGGGACTTCAATTAACTGTGGTGGGCACTAGGTAACATCCTGTGTGTACCTTTGCCGTACATTAAGGCTTTTGTGTATGATCCTGCCTTGGCTCATAATGGATTTCAGCAGAAAAAGTACTGACTAGTGTAGGTGAACTGTAGAACTTCTAGGTAACATGACCCCATTTTGTGTTAGACACCATTTTGTAATTCCAACATGTAACACGTTCACCACTTACTGTGACTACTCCTTAATGACAGAGTGGCATGGGTAGTAACCAGAAATTTTCATTTTCTTATTCTTGTCTGCTTTAATTTAGGCTATTTGACACTGAAGACTGTGGAAGATATTGCTAATTTCAGATACACTGTAGGTCACTGTGTATAGCTGTGTAGTTTGCAAATGGAATGATAGACCAAACTAAATCAAGAAATTTACACCCTCATTTTGGGCTAAATTTTTTTCTGTTACATCCAAATCTTGTGAGCTGTGCTCTGGTAATTGGTGAAACTCTTGAGTTGACACCCTTACTTGGTGGAATAAACATTTTCATGTAGTCTAAATATATTCACTATTGTTTGATCCAGCCTCACGAGGACAGGACTAGATATTTGGCTATGTTTCCTGAATTAGAATCTTAAGAGTCCCAATACCCTCAGGTACATTGCATTACAAGCATCTGAATTTTTCTCCCATTCCTCAGTAGTGGTTACTTTAAATTATGTAACCTCTTGCCCTTTTTTTTAAGGTGAAAACATATGTCTATATTCACACAGTATGAAACCTGTGGATTCCTCAGACCATCTTTCTGTTTTCACTCCTGTTCAGGCAGTGCTGAATAAATGATTGTTACATGGTGTGTCTAATGTATAGTCTAATGTAATGAGAAGTCTCATTACAGGGACTTCTTAATGACTTGACACAGCTCCAGTGAGGTTTGATCCTGTATGTGATACGTTACTTACTTCATAAGATGGAGGGAGTACATGGAGAGCTATGCCCTAGCACACAGATGCTCAAAAAAGGAGCTGGAACAATTTAGAAAAGGGTTAGTGCATCTATGACTACATGCCCAGTATACTCAGGTGCACTACCCATAGGTGAACTGAAGACTGCTGTAGTACTATTTGTGTACTGCCTTTGAGACAGCGCAGAGAAGTCCCAGCAGAGGTTCTTGTTTTGAGCTTGAATTCTGTGCCAGGACAAGTATTTTTGATCAAAGATGCTTGTAATAGTACAGCCTGACTGGGTGCAGCAAGAATAATCCTTTCTCTTCAGCAGTGCATATAGTATATAGTGTGGACTACTTGGCTTTCTCATCTCTGTTTTCATTTTGTAGTACTTTGTCCTAATAAGCTTCCAGTTGCATGTTTCCTTAGGGGTCAGTCCTACCTCCCACATTACTTATGTTCTCTTAACTCATTTCTATGATAATCTTAGAAGATTAAATGAACAATCTTCACTACTGGTTCTGTGGAATCTTAACCTGTGGCTGAGTAATATACTCTTCATTAGGGAAAGCAAATTTATTCCTTGCCACAGTTACTCTAACGCAGTGTGGAGATTAATCTTCCCTCCTACTTACATACTGGGACCTTTGCTAAAACTAACAAATTTAATGAGATGCTAAATGTAACTGACTTTAAGGCACAAAGTTAACTTGTGTTTGCTTTTGAAATATTGATTTTCTTACACTGGAAGGTCATTTGAATGTCTTCTAGAATTACTGAAACGTGTATTGATTTCAGGGTTTTTTATTATTATACCTACTCCATGCCTTCTACTTTGCCCTCTTTTCTATTAATAGGTAACAGACTATTCGTAGGTCTGATACATAAATTAATAAATAAATAAAGAGCACATAGAGATAGAAAAGACTACAAATACTGAGGAAGATATGCAGAATTAATGAGGAATACACCTCGATTAAAAAAACAAACAAACCAACCAAACCAAAACCACACAAACCCTAACAATTACATTTTAATAAAAGGATAAAGGTGACTAGCTGGGGAAAAATTAATTCTCCTGTAATACTCTGTGGGAAGTCAGAAAGCCCTCCTTGCTTCATACATTTAGGAGGAGATTGGACAAACTGGTAAATGGACAGGAGGGAGCAATTGTGTTGCAGGGAGATGGGCTGCATGACATAATAGAATTTAGTGATGGAAAACACACACGATTTTCACTTGGAACATTATGGACTCATAGCTGACAAGCTATTAAAGTGGAAGGAAAGCATCAAGGTTACCAGAGAAACACCACTTTAATCTCTCTCCCTAGCGTGCGAGCGGGAGCTGGGAACATAGCTTGGAGTTGCTTGTTGCAAGAAACGCCATTTCCACTGACAAGTATTTCCTCTGTGGATCTGCTGACGTGTTCTCTTCGCGCTTTTTGCCCCCCACGTTTGAGCAGGTGCAGCGGTTTCAGGACATGCCGTGGTTTCAGCACTCGAGGAAAAGGACACGGCCCCTGCTGTCCCAGAGCCCACGCGCTCCCCTCCCGCTCGGGGGACGATTCCGGCGGAGCCCTCCGGACCGCTCTCGGCCCCGCGGCCGCCGGAGCCTTTTCCCGCCGATCGGACTCTTCCGTCCGCTTGCATCTGGCCCGCCTAACACCCCACCGGCGCCCTCCGGGCCCAGGAGGCGGCAGAGGGCGGTTTCAGGGCTGCAGGCCGCGGGTGCCGTGGGCGCGGTGTCGGACCGCCGGGCCGCGGACTGACGACTCCGCTGCCCGGACAGGGCCGGGCCTT